GAAGTATTAGACAAACATCATTTTGTGATTTGTTTTGGTATATTTACTAGATTGATAGATGTAAAATGATATCTTTTGAATTTGATTTTACTTAATTACCAGTATATATAGATTTTTTCATAATTTTTTATTTATCTGTGCTTTTCTCTTTGGGATTTGTCTTTATTGTGATCTTTTTAAAAGTTTGCTTAAGTTCCTTAATACTTTATTTGCTGTATTTGTAAATATTTTTAGTGTTTGCCTTTAAACTATTTGAGTAGTGATTTGTTTACTTCAAATAGTACATTTCGTGTGTGTGTGTGTGTGTGTGTGTGTGTGTGTGTGTGTGTGTGTGTGTGTGTTGTGAGTGTCCCTGATTAAAGTCATCAGTACAAATTTATGCGGTGGCAGGCCACTGAAGGAAATTCAGAGATCATTTCCATGTGTTGCTAAGTATAGAAAGGCTATAGTGTACACAAACAATCCTGATTTATGATGGCTTAAGATTTTTTAACTATACGATGAAAGTGATGCCCATACACTAGAACTGTGCTTCAAATTTTTATTTTTCCTGTGCTAGTGATATGTTTGTAGGCATGGCTTATATAATTATCAGGGGAAACAACTTACACTGTACAGAATACTACGTAGCTAAGCTATGATGTTTGGCAAGTTAGGTATGTTAAGTTCATTTGTAACTTGTAATGTTTTCAGTTCATGATGAGTTTATGATGTAATCCCTTCCCTAAATCAAGGAACGTCTGTTTTCTTCTATGACTTAGAGATGGAATTAACCTTTTTAGAAAGGTGGAATGCTACCAGTATCTCAGATCATTTTTCTGTCATTTGTTGTAGTTTGCTTTTGGGTAGGAGTTAGATACAGGTAGTTGAGATTGTAATTTGCTTTGTAAATCTCTTTTGTAGATGTCAAATTAATCCAGGTGATATTGAAATATTGTGAGGGAAATTGAAGGTTGTACTCACTGTTCTTTTAAAAAAGTTGCCAATTTCCCCAGTATCATACTAGGGTCTCTGGAGGGAACTGCCAATACGAGATGATGACTAAGGTATTGATTTAAAAGCTTATGAAGGTTGACAGAATCACAAGGTAGAGATACATTGTGGGTTGAAACATAGCATTACATCGTCTAAAATCAAGAGTTTTTGCTTTGATGATTTTATGCACTTTTTAAAATAAAAGTTATTAGGAATCTGTTGAATTTTTTGTATCTTTTTTTTTTTAATTGTGAAAATACCATACAGAGGAGTAACAATTACATGGGCAAGACAACGAGTACATTTCCTATCAAGCATTGTTGCCTCCTCCTTTGTTTCCCCTTCCTATCCCTTCTCATCTCCCCTCCCCCCTAGGCCCCTCATAATCCCCGCCCCCAATTTTTGTATCTTAATCTATATCCACTTCATACTATCAGAATTAAATATTGATATAATTTGAAAAGGAGTGTACATATTTTTCAGCATAACTGATAGGACGAATGACAATGGTAACAATGGAGTAAATCTTCATATAATGCATTTGTTCTGGTAGTAAAGCTTTGAATAGTTGGTATTAACATTTAAGTATAGAGTTCCCTGAAAAAGCTTCCCCATTTCTATAGTCATATACATAAAATGTACAATTTCTCTAGTTTGTATTATATATGTAGCTATGTAAACATTTCGATCTCACACAGCTTTTCATGTTAAAAATGTGTTGGTAAATTGTCTTAGTGTTAGCATATTATCAATTCATTTACAGATAGGTAACTTTTTGTTTTAGGCATTTATTCAGAAATACCTTAATATATATACTTTGTTTTTTCGAGGGTCACTGTAACACTTCATCCCCATCCCCAGCTGTGCTTATATATTTTTGTATTTCCCTACTAGGTTCTGAAAGATAAATTCCTACAAGGTCCTTTTCTATGTTGTCATTTAGCTATCTGTTCCCTGATTGTCTTTTGGAAAGGTTGTACCAATTTATATGCCACAAATCATGAGTATTCTCTTTCCTTTGTTGACTCACATTTTTCAAATGTTTGCAAAGGTGATCATTTTAAAAAAGCAAAAATCCTTTGTCCTTTTCATTATTTCTCTCATTATTAGTGGATTTACTATCTTTTTGAACTATAGCATTTACATATACTATTAGCTGTTCACACCATTTGATGTGTGAGAAAGGGACAGTGGCCCTTTCTGTTAATGGTGTAAATAGGGCTTTGAGTTTATTTTGGTGAATTACTTGACTGAAGAAAAAAATTTGATATATAAATCATTGACCACAGATCAAATTAGAACTGATGTACTGGTAGGATACTTCATCAACGCTTTAATGTGAAGGTATCTAATCAAATGAGTTGTAGTAAGTCCTATTCTCAGACAGGTCTAGAATCTACAAATCTAGAGTCTATAAAATCTACTCTGGACCTCAGAGGGTGAAAATGTCTGGCCAATGCTTTTCATTTTGAGTTGTTAGTTTAAGTGATTGTAACCCTTCATATACCTATAAAACTCAAATTTGACTTATAATTCATATTTAAATAAAACTTGATTTTTTATTAAATGTTAATGTTTGGACTAATAGACGTAGTTTGAGATCTGGTTTTGTTAATTTGGTTATTATATATATATATATATATATATATATATCAATTTGAATGATAAGAATGACTATTCCTAAAATTGCAGTGAAATGAATTTTATGCACATGCATGATATTTGTCAAGTTTTGTTTTCTTTTTCTGTGCTGAGGATTGAACCCAGGGCTTCCCACACTCTTGAACCACATTTTCAGCCCTTTTGTTGTATTCGGCTTTTGAGATAGGGTTTCACTAGTTACATTAGGGGTGGTTTTCACATCATGATCCTGATCCTCCTGACTTGGCCTGTCTGGTAGCTGAGATATAGGAGTGTGCCACCAGACCTGGTTGTATTTGTCATTTTAAGTCAATAGACTTAAACTGGTATACAGATTTCAGCAGTCAGTCTTGTTTCAAATCATGACAAGTATACATAATGAAGATGGCATCCAGGGCTATAATTTACCATTTATGTAGATACCACTGCAAACAGAACACAAAGGAGGCAGGCAGTAAATCATGTGATAACAATTTGTTTTAAGCTAACTTCCTCCTTAAGCTCCTTCCTCCTGCTTTCCTCTCCTCTTTCACTTCCTCTTCTTCCTCCTCTTCCTTCTCTTCTTCCTAGTGGGGTGGGGGGGGGGAGGGGGGAGGTGCTGGTGTTGAGACTTGAACTCGGGGCCTGGGGCTGTCCCTGAGCTTTTTTGCTCAAGGCAAAAGTAGAACCACAGCTACATTTCAGTTTTGATAATTAACTGGAGATAAGAGTCTTAGACTTTTCTGCTTGGTTGGTTTGGCTTCAAACTGTGATCCTCAGATCTCAGCTATGAATATGAGTATGAATAGTTGGGATTACAGACAAGAGCCACCAGCAGCCTGCTATTCTTACTTATTTTGAAAGGACTTTTTATTGAAACAAAAGCCTTAATATCTTGCAAGCTTGTTAACTTATGTAAGTCTGTAGCCCAATTTGAGAATCACTGTGTTTGATAGCCATTAGTAAGACTAACTGTACAATTTTTATGTTAAATTCAGCAGATTAAACATTTTTTCTGATTACTGTAAAAATGCACACATTCTTTATTCTTCACCTAGCTGCAACATAGGTTGAGGCTGACACTGATCCGTTGACACACTGATCCACATGGCCCTTCTAGTAGACAATAAAAGAGTGAAGCTAAATGAAGTAATGGGTAAACAGAAAAGTTAAAATGTCAGAATGAACAAAAATGAAAGCAAATATTCCGAGAACATTGGAAAAACATTAGTGAGCTAAGAACATTTAACTCAAAAAAGGACAAATTGAGCTAAGTAGGACAATGCTGTGTTGTTAAAAATGTAAAATTATGTTGTAAGTGACTAGGTTATAGTAGAAAATTTGTTTTATTATCTTCTGTGTATGATAAGCAAATTCTCTTTTTAGTGTTGTATAATATAAATTGTTTGAACCTTCCCTGTGCCCTACTTTGGGGCTGAATACAATGTGTCTTGGTCAGTGTCACCTCTTTGAATTTAATTTTTAATTAAGACATAGGTATATGTTTGAAAGTTGAATTCCCCAGAAATCAGAGTTCTTCAGTCCCAGGAAGGTGCTGAAGACATGAATTAATGGGTGTTATATGTAAAGTTTATTTAGATTTTATTGTTATATTGGGAGGGGCAAAATGACTTTTAGATCCTGTGTTTTTCACAAGATAAAACATTTTTCTTATATATTATACAGTATAGCTGCCTTATTCCTTTTATTACACGTAATTTTGACAAAGAGTGGTAATAAAAAAAAAGAAATTATCTTCCATTTATAGGCTAGTCACAGTGGCTCATGCCTGCGATTCTATCTGTTCAGGAGGCAGACATTTTTGGAGGATTTTGGTTAGGGATGAACTTGGGCAAAAAGTCCTTATCTTGACCAGTAAAGCCCATGGTGGATTTCTTTAGTATAAATGAGAGGGCCCTATTAGAAAAATAACTAGAGAAAAAAGGGCTGGATATACAGTGCCTGCCTAGCAGTGCAAAGCCCTGAGTTCATACTATAGTACTACCAAACAAGTACAAATAAGAAGTTCATGTGCATTCTACAGCTCTGTTGACATGGAGAAGCTTTAGTCCTATGCTATTGGCAGTTGGGTTTAAACGATGGTGTGATCTGCTGAGTGTTTAATTGCCTTAATTTTGTGCAAATATGCTTTCACCAAAGCAAGTGTCACACCAAAAGCTTAATTGAAATGATAAAGTGAAAATTTGGTATTTGTTGACAGGCAGTGTGTTTTTAGAGGAGATTGGGAAAAATGGGAAACATGAATGCAACATCTGAGTATCTGAAATATAGCAGTGAACACCACAATGTATCTTGAACAGTTCTGGTATTTCTTTAGCAGTGATCTTGTTGGAATACTAAGGGTCTATTGCGTGTGTGTTAATTGTGCACATTTTCCTTTATAGGCCCAGATTATTTATCAGCATGGCTACCTGGTAATGAATCATTGTGGCAGACCACACCTGTTCCACCTAATCATCGAAATAACCGTGTCAGGAGACACAGTATAGCTTCTGACAGTGGAGACACGGGCATTGGCACTTCCTGTTCTGACAGTGTGGAAGGTAAGATGTAATGCAGAGTGAACAGACACCAATCTTTGAAAGATGGTTGCAAATTGGGATTATTTAAGTGGTCTGTTGTTCCACAGTAAAAATTACAGTGTTTGAGTGTTTAATAATTAGTATATTATTAATCCATTATTAATGAATAATATAGTATTGCTACATTTCAAATTGTGCTTACATTTTTCTTTCTTTTCCTAACATTTAATATAATTGTAGTTTTTCATTGAATTTGAAAAAATAGTACAGAAAGATTCCATGTAGTCTTTATCCATTTCCCCCAGGGAAATAGCTTATAAAACTATGTGACAGTAACACATCCATGGTAATGACATGGGTGAAGTAAGGACACAGGCCAGGGCAGGGCATGTAGCTCAGTGGTAGAGAGCTTGCCAAGCGTGCACAGTCCCCAGCACTGGAGGAAAAAAATGTACATTAGTATATTCTTATGTTGCTCACTACCACTTGTCTCTACCCTCTCCGTTTTCCTCTAACTCTTAGAAAGCACTTGTTTGTTTTCCAATCCTGTAATTTTGTCATTTCAAGAATACTATATAAATGGAAATCATATACATAACCTTTTTTCTTTCTTTTTTTTTTCAGTTTGGGGTTTGAACTCAGGGCCTCATGCTTTCTAGAAAGGCAAGTGCTCTGAGTACTACCTCAACTTGTTTTGGCTTTTGTTTTTCAGGTAGGGTCTCATTTTTACCTGGGGCTGGTTTCAGTCCTTCCACACAGCTAGGATGACAGGTTTGTACTACCACACCTAGCTAACTTTTTGATTAGGCTGGCCTTGAACCATGATGATCTTCCTGACTTCTGCCTCTCCTGAGTAGCTGGGATTACAACTGTGAGCCACTGTGCCAGGCCAGTATATAACATTTTGGAAAGGACTTTTTCCATGGAGAATAGTTCATTCCATTTTGTTGATGAAGAGTGACCACCTCATTAGTGGTGCTATTGGAGACACATGCTTGAACTACTAACAGCTTGAAAAATATCACAGTTTCCAATTTGGGACTATTAGGATAAACTTCCCATAAATGTGCATGTACCAGTGTTGATGTGAAACATATCTTTTCCTATCTCTGGGGTGGAGACCCTGAAGAATCTGCTGTGTTCTGCCTGTTCATTCCCCTGGCCCATCCAATAGTTGTAATGACTTCTTAATCTCCTCTGGTTTATGACAGTTTTTCATTCTTTCCTTGTTTTTTATAGTATTAATAATTTTGAGAAGTGGCCAAGTATTTTATAGAATGTTGTTTGATATTTTCTCATGATTAACGGGGGTTGTAGATTTTGGAAAAAATGCCTCACTGATACCATCATATCTATGGATATATGATATCACTGATTATAGCTACCTTGATGATAAATAGACCATTACTTTGGCTGTAGGAAAACAAACAGATGTTTCTCACTATCATTAAGATACAATGAATAGTTATCATTAATCTTTGTACTTAGTAGGCTGAGACCAGGTGGTTCAAGAGTTTGAGGAAAACCTGGGCTGCATAGTAAATTCCATTTTGGATCCATAGCAAGACAGTCACAACAAGAAGAACAAAAATTATTCTTTACTATTGTTTTTTCTGTTCTTTCAGTCTATTGTAATACCAGAGTGTCAAAATGGCACTTACTATTTTAGGTATGTCTTTTATGAAGACACTATTTGACTGGATTTAAAACATTTGATCTATCCTTGTTTTTTGTTTTGTTTTTGTTTTTGTTTTCTTTTCTTCTGTTGGTTGTAGGGCTTGAACTCAGGGCCTGGGCACTGTTCCTGAGCTTTATCGCTCAAGGCTGGTGCCCTTCTGCTCTTTAAATTAGGACAATTAGATTTATCCATATTTTAGTATTTCATTTCTTTTAATTGCCTAATAATTATCTGTTATATAGACAAAGCATTAATCTTATTCATTAGTTGATGGAAATTTTGACTATTTCTATTTTTGTGGCTATTGACTGCAGTGTCTGAGTATTCTTGGATACATTTCGGTGTGGATATATGATTACTTTTCTCTTGGGTATATAGTAGACTTGCCTAAGTTTTATAATAACTCTTTAAGTTTTTGAGGAACTAGCTGTTTCCTAAGCTGTAGCATTTTGCATCCCCCCCAGCAATGTGTGATGGTTCTCGTTTCTCCACATCCTTGTTATTTTCTGTTACTTTGATTTTAGCCAGCCTAATAGGTATTAGGTGGCATCAGATAGTGCTTTGATTTATATTTTCTTGGTAACAAATGATATTAACCATCTTTTCATGTGCTTAGTATGACCTTTTGTGTATTTTCTTTGCAGAATGTTTATTCATATTCTGCATTCACTTTCTGTTGGGTTGTTTGTGTTCTTAATTGAATTAAAAGTTTTTTTTGTGTGTTGACTAAAGTCCCTATCAGACACATGACTGCCAACAATTCTCAACCCATTTTATTGGTAGTCTTTTTATTTGAGCACCTGCAGCAAAATAATTTAAAATTCAAATAAGTAGAATGTCTATTTTCTTTTGTGCTTGGATTTGGTATTTAGCTAAGAAACCATTGCCTAAACATAAGGTCCTGAAGATTTTCAACTTGTTTTTTTTTTTTTTAATTTTATTTTATTTTATTTGAGAACATACTGTACAGAGGGGTTACAATTACATGGGCAGGATAATGCATACATTTCTTACCAAGCATTGCAGCCTCCTCCTTTGTTTACCCTTCACCTCCCTTCCCAGCCTCCCCCCTCCCCTCAACTTGTTTTTTTTTTTCCCTGACAGTTTCATATTATATTTAGGTCTGTGGTCTGTTTAAAGTACTATTTGTGGATGATACCTGATACCAAGTAGGTATCTAGTTTAATTATATTGCCAGGGACTCTCCAGCTATACTAGTTCTACTAGCTCCCTTAGCTATTAATGTAGCAGTTGTGACATGTACTCTTAACCTATGTGTGATAGCAGTCAATCTGTATTCTCACAGCATTCTGTAATGTTCATCACCTGCTTTGAGTTGTATGCCATAGTTGCCAAATAGTCTATCTGCTTAATTTCTTTTTTACACATTATTTTGTGTGAAAAGTTTCATTGTTATATATAATCATTTGTTATCTTATAGAAACTAAAGAAACGCCAGTGGTTCTTCAGTGAGCTTGGTAGTAAGGTTTTCCTGAAAATATATTTTGTCCTTAATCTTGAAAGGTGGTTTCCCTGGGGGGGGGGGGGGGGGGGGGGGAGAGGGAGCAGTTTTGAATATTGTCTTCTCTACCTAATGCAATACCTTCTATTTATTCATTCTTAAGAGATTATTCTTTAGTGAAACTACCATTGAATTACTTTATTAAAAAATATTAGTATAACCTGGACACCTAAAATACTATTAATCAAAACAAATTCCAGGTAGTGTTTCTGTGTGCTTCTTTTTTTTAATCTGCTTTTTAGGGAGGGGCAGTGGGGGAGCACAGAAAGGGAGAAAGAAGGGTGAACAAATACAATCATGGTATTCAGTATATACTAGGTGATATTCAGTATATACTATGTAACTTGTGGGTAGGGATGGGAGGTAGAAATTGGGGAAAATAAAGGAAGGGGGTTGACAGTGGCCAAGAGAAAAGTATGCAATACCTGAATTGTGAAATGATAACCCCTCTGTACAACACCTAATTTCATTGTGATATTTACATCCATGCATATAATGTACTTCCATAAAATTTACCCCATCCACATTATTGTTCCTTTTTTAAAAATCATATTTTTATTATCTTTAAGTAGTTGTACAAAGGAGTTACTATTATTATTGTTTCTCTTTTTTTTTTTCTTTTCTGGTGCAGGTCCTTAGGGCTTGAACAGAGTCTGAATGTTGTCCCCGAGTTTCTTTGCTTAAAGCTAGTTTTCTACCACCTGAGCCATCTAACTTTTTTGGTAGTTTAGTGGAGATAAGAGGCTCACAGTCTTTACTTCCCGGGCTGGCTTTGAACTGAGATCCTCAGACCTCAGTCTTCTAGTACCTAGCATTACAGATGTGAGCCACCAGTGCCTGGCTCTATTACTATTTCTAAATCTCCCATTCCTCTCCTTTTCACTGAGTTACTTTATGCTCATTTCCTTCCAGCATTCATTTTATATTCATTAAATAACTTTGGCAGTAATTGTACACAACATCTAAGCTACTCAAAAGTCAGTGTGTAGAGAGGCCAGGTGTGTAAAGTTAGGGATTGCTTATCTCCAAAATGAAATAACAAAAAAAATTGGGGCACAGGTCAAGTAGAGTATTTGTCTATGTGCATCTCTAGGTTCAGTATCTAGTATGTGTGTAAAGGTGGAAGCTGGATAAGAAAAGGAAAAAAATTACCTCAAAATATATGCAATACTTTGAAATATTTGTTTAGAAAAGGCAAAATTGAATATGGTTCAAAAATGTTCCTCCTCCACAACAGTATAAAATATGAATGTGTGATGTGATGTGATCTTGATATTAACAAAAGAAGAGAAAAGGGTCATATTATATAAAATTAATTGTTGCCTTTATGGTTTAGGCACATGTTTTTAATTCAAAAAGTAAAATATAATGTCTGACATTGGCTAATCTGTTGAACTGTTGGATTTTAAATCTGAATGCTTTGGTACAGGGTTGTATAGTTTCCTGTTTTTTATTTTGTAACTACAATTTATCCCAAACAACAACAGATTCCACAAAGGTGCCTATACTTAGATTCGCTCACACAAAAGCAGGAATTTCCTAAATATAGAATGGGTAGCCTTGTTCACTTTTTCTGTTAATTCCCAATCTGTAATATCTTTCCCTTTTCATCTCTAATGAATAATTTTGTGCTAGAGACCAACAGGAATTTCACTTTCTGAAGTAGTCTCCCTGGCTCATGTTCATCCAATTTTTCTTATAAATGAAATATATATGCTGAATTATCAGCATTTCTTCAACCCACTAGATCTTTCAGATCTAGATTAAGTGTAAAAGATAGCATTTGTTCTCTCACAGATCCTTCGAAGACTTGTATAATGTGAGGGATAGATTAAGGCTATAGATATTCACACATTTTGGAAATAAAGGTTTACAACTTGGTGACTTAGTGAATGTGAAGCGAGGGAGACCCTGAGTTTCTGGCCTTGGGATGCAGATCATTTGCGATGCTGTTCAGTGAGACTGGAAAGTTAGTGGCTCCCCTGTCTCTGAAGATAAAGTGCTAGAACTTTGATTATTTTACATTATTGCAGGAATTCCTTTGCTCCTATTTCTAATTTGAATTAGAGTTGGTAGGAGGTACTGAAATGTTCAGATTTGGCATAGACTTCTACAGTTTAGGAGACTAGATAGAGTTATATCTGAGATTTCAGTGCTGTGTTACAAGACCTCTCAATGGAGAATAGAGCCAGGTACCTGTGGCTCATGCCTGTAATCCTAGCTACTCTGGAGCCTGAGATCTGAGGATTGTGGTTCAAAGCCAGCTTTGGCAGGAAAGTCTGTGAGACTCTTATCTTAAATAAACCACCAGAAAACCAGAAGTAGCTCAAGTGGTAGCATACTCACCTCAGCTAAAGAGGGACAACCAACCAGAAAAAAAAAAAATCAATGGGGAATAGTCTTTTAAATGTACAATACTTTGATTAGATAGCCTAAATATAAATATATCTTAATTTTTCACCATTGGATGTACTTATGTAGGCATATTTAGAAATAATAGTTGGAAATATGTTTTTGTTTGCCTCCTTTAAAGGAAGTCCTATGAGAAACATTTGAAATCATGTCCAGATTTTTCTTGGCAGTTTGCCCTTTACCTCATTCTCTTTAATATGTTAGCTATAACCAGTTTGACAATCTCGTCTCTTTCAGATCATTCAACTTCAAGTGGCACACTATCTTTTAAGCCTAGTCGATCATTGGTTACTCTTCCCACTGCCCATGTGATGCCGTCTAACTCCAAACGCAGGGAATCATTAACACCAGATGGCTCAAAATGGAGTACAAGCCTCATGCAAACCTTGGGAGACCACAGTAGAGGGGATCAGGACTCTTCTCTAGATATGAAGGACTTCCGGCCCCTTCGGAAATGGTCATCTTTATCCAGACTCACTACCCCAGACAACTACAGCAAGGCCACCACTGCACACACAGAAGAGCTAAAGAATGGTTTGGAAAAGACAGGGAGGGGCAAGGCTCTCACATCACAATTGAGGACTATTGGGCCTAGCTGCTTACATGATAGCATGGAGACGCTGAAGTTAGAGGACAAGGAAATAAATAAAAAACGGTCATCAACTCTGGATTGCAAGTATAAATTTGAGAGCTGTAACAAAGACGACTTTAGATCTTCTTCCTCTGCTCTTAGAAGACAGACCTCAGACATGACATACAGTGCCTTACCTGAGAGCAAGCCCATTATGACAGGCTCAGATGCTTTTGAATCTCCAAAATACTTAATGCTTGGGCAGCAGGCAGTAGGTGGAGTTCCCATTCAGCCTTCTGTGAGGACTCAGATGTGGCTTACAGAGCAGTTACGGACAAACCCTTTGGAAGGTAGAACTACAGAGGATTCTTACAGTTTAGCTCCTTGGCAACAACAGCAAATGGAGGAGTTTCGACCAGGAAGTGAAACCCCAATACAGGTAAGGCCCCAAACCTGTTAGCTTCCCTCACCACCCTTTCAGTGGTATGGAGCCCAGTTACCCTTGGGAGTTACCCTTGGGACAGTGTCCACATTCACTATTTTAAATATTTTGTTCTCCCACAAGTTAACAAGCACATTATCATAAACTTGACTATTGTATTGCCAAAAATCTGAAAAAGCATTTGAGACTTAAAATGAATCTTAAAGTTTGTGCTTAATTTTGTTTTCACTTTCTCATTTGTTAAATGCGTGTGATAACAAAATGTTCTATTTCAAGAAACTTGAAACAGAGGTTGACATGATATAATATAAAATTGAGAGTAAAACTAGCTTTTCTGGTTCTATCATTATTGCAACCTGTATGTTTCCCAACCTATTGCTTAATTTCTCTGGGCCTTGGTTCATCTGGTAGTGGCCTTGGTAATGTAAATGTAAATGTAAAGTCATTTGTAATATTTTGATAATAATTGCTTTGCATTTATATTTTTAGTCATTCACTTGAAAATAGTGAAAATCTTGAGCGTCGAAATTTGGTGATCAGTTTAAGGAGATCACTTTAGAGAAAGAGAAATAAGGTATTATCATTGTTCCCTAGTAGAATAACAGGTAGATGTGTAATTTCTTGACCTGAAAACATAATCTCTTTCAAGACAATTTTCTATTGCTCATTTGCACTGGCAAACCCATTTTCTGAATCTTGTCATTTTCTTTTTTATCAGAATTCTCTTAAACTATAAAACATTGCAAAACTTATCTAGAGTAAAAATTTTAAATTACTGTTCATTACTACTTATAAAGTTATAAAATATAAAAATTGCTGAAGAGAAGCTCACCCTGGACATAGTGGAGATCTCTTTACTGACAAACTTGTTTATTCTTTCTCTTACCTTCCCTGGCATGTTTTAAATTCTGGCTTGAAATCATTAGCATGAAGAAAATGAAACTTTGTGCCTTTGGGACTTGATCAATCAAAATATTGACACCTGGTAATTTTAAATATTTAGGTGGAAATTTTCTCTTGTATAAACAACTTAATGACTTAAAGGACCTTTGTCTAACATGACTAGGAATGAAAGAATAAGAAAGCTTTCTAACTTGAAAATATTTTACTGTCTTCTTTGAAAAAAAGTTTTCTTTTTCATTTTTGCATCTTGTTTTGTCTTTTAATATTTTTGTTTTAAGTACTTTTTATTAGTATAAATTAAGGGGTTTATTGTGATATTTTTATGCATTGAGGTGTGGACTGGACACTACAGATGTGCACATGACTCTACCTGTGATATATTCATATTCATGTGTAAAAGTTATTAATGTATTTGACTTATATTTTAAAATCAACTTTAATATATAATTGGCATATTGTTTCTAGATATTTGAAAGTGTACTGTTACTTAGCATTCAAGCAGACCTTTACATGAAATTCCTGTTTTGCCTGAAGACTCAAAACAAAGGACAAGTAATCTCTATGTTAGGGTGCCCTCTTGTGTTCATATTAGGAAATCTTGTAGACCCTTGCAACATCAACACTACAGTTAGAACAAGTCATTATCAATCTAGCATATATTACAGGGAATTCAGTTCATTTTAATATAGATGATTCTGTGCATTTTAGTATTTACACATTAAGATGAGCATATGCTCCGCAGTAGGATATTTACTTACTATTTAAATATATAGCTTTCTGTTTATCAGAAATAAACAGAGTAGTTTAAAATGGTTTTGTTCTGTATTTTAATGATTTATAATATTTCAAAATCTCGCACATTAAAATTTCTATGAAAGACAGAATGAAGAAAAAAAATCTTGTTCTACTGAGAAAACTCCTGTCACTTCACAGTTAAATTGATATTTTAATCTATGGCACGTTATAATGAAAGACATAGGACTTATCAGTTCAAATTTTCCACTTATTTGTAATGTTAGTGCAATTATAGAACATAGGTACTTTTGTACAGATAATTGTTGGGCCAGTAGGTTAGTGTATTCTATAGGATTTATAAGTTTCCTGGCTGTAATGGGGATCTCCAACCTTTTAAATGAACTGTTGTTGGAGAAATCCCAGGTAGTATGAAATCCTGTTTACCAACTGTTGTACAGATATTCATGAGCCAGAATGATCTCCCTTTCTATTTACATGACATCTAGTGATTCATAGGATTGAAAAGTAAAGTCTTTTTCCATGTTCAGTTAGGACTATTTGTGTTAAAAACCAATGTGGAATTCGGCTCAGGTAGCCTTCAGTTGATAATGGATAAAGGATGTTGAGTATATATATTCAATGTAGTACTATTCAACCATGACAGGAAATTATGTCATTTTTCAGGAAAGTAGATGGAACTGGAGATCATCATAATGAGCCCAATACACCAGGTTCAGAACGATACATATTACATATATTTTTGTATGTGAAAGCTAGACCTAAAATAGTATGGGTATATATGTTTTATATATGTAATTGTATGACTAGTTTGGGAGGGAACAAATGGAAGTAGGAAAGAGAATACTGGGGGTGAATAATACAGAATTATGTCTATATCTGAAGATAGTATAATGAAACCTACTAAAAACTAAAAAGGTTGGAAAAAAGAGCAATGGTTGGTGGGATAATTTGATTAAACTACAATACATACATTTGCAAAATATCATGTTGAAACTCTTTGTAGAATTAATACTAATTTAAAAAGAGACCAAAGGGGACTGGGAAGGTGGCTCAGTGGTCGAGTGCTTGCCTTGCATGCATGAGGCCCTGGTTTTGATTCCTCAGCACCCATAAGCAGAAAAAACTCTTAAGTGGCATTGTGGCTCAAGTGGTAGAGTGCTAGCCTTGAGCTGAAGAGCTGAGGGACAGCGCCCAGGCTGAGAGTTCAGACCCCATGACCGACAAAAAAAAAAAAGAGACACCAAGGTCAATATTGATGCTTCATATTCTTTTAGTAATAATATTTTTGGGAAGTTTATTCCTTATTAATTAAATAATATATAATTATATAATTATAAAAATATATATCTTGAATGTAAGCCACTTTGGACTTGGGTTAAATTTTAGTGTATTTATTTCTGAAACATTTTTTACTTCTGTTATTTTATTAGTTGTTAGAGGATGTTTAAAAATGACATGGGAAATTGAAAATATATTCAGTAAGAAAGAAATTGTAGATTAACATTTCTGGATCTTTTCCTGAGCTCATTGATGTAGCCTACAAAATGAGTGTTAATTGTCTGATTGGTAGATTCAGGAAAATAGTTACATCCTATAGGTCAGAATTTTGTTTAAAATATAGGAATTAGTTAATATTTGGAGATAGAATTCAAATGTTTATTTCTCATAATGCTTGAGATAATATATTTCTTGTTGGAAATTTTTTTGTTTCCTTGCCTTCATTAGTTATAAGGTTGGAATAGAAGACTATCTGTGAAACCAAAGATAGAGTATGACAAGTTCGGGTATTTGATAACCAGTTTATATCAGTGCTTTTTGACTTAAAAATATCATTTTACGTCCCAGAAAGAAAGGTTAACTTACTTAAACTAGAATGTTAGAATGTTAATCTAGAATAGAAAATGAAAACAATTTTAGTTTTAGAATATAGGCTCTGATAAAAACTAATTACCAAGACTTGTAATTAAAAATAGTGAAAGTATATAGATGTGAGAAATCAGTGGGTTAATTTAAAGGCCACTTCATTTAAATTATTGGAGTACTTGGTGAAAACTTTGAATACTTATTGTCTTAAGAGTTTTTTAAGTGCAACATAAATTATATTACCTCAATGAGTAAAGATAAGGCTATACATATAAAGTGAACTTACTAGCAGTGCTGTTTCCAAATTAAAACTCTGAAAGACATTCATAAACCATTTTGAGGAAATCAGCAGTTACATTTTTATGCACTTATAGTCATTATATGGTTTGAAAATAAGCCCTTTTCATGTTTACAAGATCCAGCAGATGAATATATTTGCTAACAATTTTTGCTCTTAATCTCAATGTTTTGACAAGGAAATTTTTCTACTTGGGAAGTATGCTTTGGTGTTTTCCCCTCTTCATGGGATGGCAGATTTTAAGATGATGTGGCAAGTTGCATGTCTTGAGTCTGCAGCAGAACTTCAGAGAAGCATCACGATGATGCAGATTAGCAGGAGACATATTAAGATGAGACAGAAATTGACAAATAGGTTCTGGAGGTTTTGACGTGCTTGTTGGGGCATTTCAATAGTAGAGGCTCTTCTTATAGCAGAGCGAGTGAGGTACTGGACTTTCTCCATGATACTGGGAAGGCAGCAGTCTACAGTCCCAAGATGGTCAAGAGAAAGATAAAAAGCTGGCAGCCAAATGTGAAATAACTGTCTTCTTTTAGTTTTCCTAGAATATAAAAAATAATAAATGTATTAATTAAGCTTGTGTGTAACTTGTTCTCTGAATTGGTAAGATGGAATTTCACGCTAATCTGTTTTCCTCTTTTGGTATTTTGTAACCAATACTTCAAATACTCCATAGTCTCTCTGTGTGTACATGCATATGTTTCTCCCTCATTTCTCCATTATTTTTTCTATCTTTCCTTGGTGGCATGTATTATTACAGTCTCATTTGTCTTGTGCTTGTGCCTTCTTTCAACTTGACTGCAAGTATTGCTTGGTTGATGGTACAGCTTGTTTTTGGTATATCTTTGGATAAAAGTTCTTACATATAGTTTCTCATAATTGATGTGCACATTAGTACATTAGTACATTAATTTCTCCAGAGCTGAAAAAGAAATGCATCTAACCCAATTATTCTTGAATCTTGATTTCCTCCCCAAAATGAAATAAATGAGAAGTTTAAATAAATTTCTACTGTTTGGGGCTGGGAATGTGGCTTAGTGGTAGAGTGCTTGCTTAGCATGGATGAAGCCCTGTGTTCAAGTCCCTAGTACCACATAAGCAAGAAAAGCCAGAAGTGGTGTTGTGGCTCACGTGGTAGGGTCCTAGGTCTGAACTTCTTTAAAGCTCAGGGACAGTGCCCAGGCCCTGAGTTCAAGCGTGAGGACTGTCAAAAAAAAAAATTCTACTGTCTGTCATGCCCATTTATGATTTTATACCCAGAGTATCACTTTAAAATAACATTTCAACAAGCTTTGATATTAAGTATTGAACACTTATTAAGCTTGGAAGTCATAGTTTATCATTATTGCATTATGTACCATGGACAGTTCCAGTTTAAACGTGTGCTTAGGAGGAATGGTTTGTGCCTTGCCTTCTATCAAAGTTTTTGTAACATATCTGTACTACAGGGCCCAAACCTTTGATAATTAATAAAAGAAAATAAAAGGATAAATAGGAAAAATAGGTATAGATTTAAAATTCAGTATAAATTATCCAGGGATAATTGATAGTAACACTTTGGAGATATTTTAATTTTTATCAAAATACTTTCCTACCAATTTTTAAAATAATTAAACTTAAACATGGATTATAAAGCCATAGTTAACAACCCAGAGATAATGGTGATGAAGATGTATATATTTGTGTGAGGATTCAGTGCTATTTATTCAGTCCCAATTTTTAAAAGTATTTTGGTGGTCCTGGATTTGAACTCAAAGCTTCATAGTTGCTAGACAGGTAACTCTATCATGTGAACCATGCCTCCCAGGCTTTTCTGGTTATTTTTGAGATGAGATCTTGCTATTTTTCTGGAGTGTCCTGAACCACATGTTTCTATTTATACTTTTTCCGTTAGCTGGAATAACAGCTCTATACTAATACGTCCAGGTTTTTCTTTTTACTGGAGATAGTTTTTTCTGGCCTGAGCTGGCCTGGAAGTGTGGGCCTCTTGATTTTAGCCTCCCACATAACTGGGAGGACAGGCATATTGCCACCATGCTCAGTTATTGGCCGTGAATGGCACCTTGAACTTTTGTCTGGCTGGCCTCCAACCCTGAGTAGCTAGGATTATAAGTGAGAGCCACCACCACTGGGCTAAAAATTACCTTGAGAAAAGTAAAACATGGAAAAGGAGATACAGTTTATCATGAACACAGGACTCATCCATAACTTGACTGTGATGAGTGTTGCTTCATAAAACAGGTCATGTTCCTATAAAAACTCCATTCCATTTAATGACTTTATCCCTCCCTTGCCCCTGGTCACTTTACTGCCTGGTAAAACCCAGTTGATCCTTAAGGCCAAGTTTAAATATTGTTTCCTGATAAAAGTTGTATTAGTCATTGAAGTAGAATTGGTTATCAATTCTGCTGTGTTTTAGTATGACTTCAGGGTGACTGTATCTGGCTATCAGGCTGTTGCATACTTTGTCAGCATCCCTAACTGGCTTTTATGAACAAAGGAATGGTATATTCATTTTGTCTTAGTACTCAGTGCAGGATTGGCACCATGCGATTAATATAGTTGAGTGAGAGATTTTTTTTTAATCACTAAACATTTCTTATTATATATGAGAAGAATAAGGCTCAGAGAATTGACCTAAGTTCATGGTGTCTTCATGAACACGTTAACATGAATAGACTTTGTACACATGGACATTTTATGTTTGTGAACTAGAAAGAGGTAGGCCCTAAAAACATAGATTATACTGTTGAAAGTATAATTAGTAAACTCTCAAGATGATTTTTAAAAAATAACAGCCTAGTGTTATTGAAAAATGAAGTGGATATAAAGAACAGACCAGATTAATGACAGTGACCTGTTTCTTGTCAAAATTTGACACAGTTCTGAAGATAGTCATTTGGTAATTTTATTCTAAAACTGAAAAAAATCTTTTACATGTAGAAATGCTAGTGGTATGCATTTAAATTTTTAGGTTCAATTTACTTTATAGTGATATGATCTGAACTGTGTTGAATCTTAATTCTGATGGTCTAGTTAGTTCCCTTCATCCATAGAAGGGAAGGCTTCCTGTCAGATACATCAGAATGAAAAGTTGAATGTGAAAACAGCATACTCTTATATTTGGAGTTGTGTGTCACTTTTACTACATCATAATTTATGTCATGGTGTCAGATGTTTATCATTTTTTTTCTGTGAACTGACCAACACCCTACATACTTAGAAATTCTGTTGTCATCATTCTTTTTCTTTTATTATTATTATTATTATAGAGTAATACGTGATGGGAAGGTATTTTATTGTTATGTAATATGATCATTTTAGAGCATTCTTTTAGCATAATGAGAAATAATGTTGAGATGTTCTAACCTTGCTTTGCCAGCTGCAGACACTGAGATTATTCTGGTTCTTTTATGAAAAGGATAACTGTTCATAATGGATGCAAGAGGAATATTCATTTGCAGACTAACTTAAAAAGTAATTCTTTATTAAGGCCCTAGTATTAGAGCATTGAAAGGTATTTGATGGGAGATTAGAGGCAGCAAGATACCCACAGTAGTGTTAGTTATATGTTTGTGGGATCCAGAATTACTCTAATTTTTGAAAGGATGTGAAGAACATAACTAAGTCTTTATTATTTTTTACGAAGTTTATAAAGCCTTCATCTTGTTCCATTTCATCTTTTGCTCAAAGAAAATCAAATTGAAGAAAGTATTGTTTTTGAAGTGGTATTAAAAAATTAAAAACCACAAGAAACCATAATTTTTTTTTAGCAAAGATTGTATGCCGTTATTAGGCAACTTAATTGATAGAGGGTACCAGGAACCCGCACTGTGTCTACAATGAGTTCTGTTTCACCAGTAAGATCCCATGCATTCTTGTGCAAAATAAGACTCAACAGGCTTTATAACGTTTTGATGTCTGAACTGGTGTCTGAGTAATCAGCAACTTAACACTTTCCATGCTTTATAGAACTTTCTGAATTTCAGACTTTGTGGGAGTTATTACTTTAGCCAAAGTCATACATTCTTGGGATTCTTTGTATTTGTAGATTCTAGAAATTTATTTTTAGAATTTTATTTTTGCATTTTAGTAAACATGGGCACTAAATAGCTTGTCAGTGTTCTTAACCTGCATAGTTCTGAAGAATGCATTACCAAATACACAAAAAATGAAGCCTTGATGTAGGGCTCCACCCAGGACACAGTCTAAAACTTATAGCTACTAAATTCAAATAATGAGGTGCTCACCTCAGATGGTCTCTACTTAATTTTTCCATTTATTTAGTATAGAAGATTAGATAGAACACCCTACAGATTGAATTAGCAAGACTTAAAAAAATTACAATTATTAAGAGTTTCAAGTTTTTTTCTGCTACTAATGGTTATTCCCACAGGTAAGCCAGAAGTGCTTGTATCTTTTTCACCTATAACCTATTGGTTTATAAAAGTTCACTCCATGTGATAACTTTATTGTCTAAGTTTTAGCCTTGGAAATTCTATTTTAAATTACTTGGTGGCAACATTCTAGCATGCTTAGTACAGACTGGATGTATGAAGAAACCTTTTTCAGCTGCTTCCAACTAGGTGTGGTCAGAGCTCTGTAATCATAAATATGGGTGTAATTCCTGAATAATTGGTGTCACAGTGTAATGTCTTGGCTTTAAATTTCTGCCTCAAGGAGAGCTTATTAAATAGCAGCACAGATTTTTCCTCCGAAATTGGTACATGGCTGTTGCTACTATGCTTGTAGACTTATTTGTATTACAATATTCTTTCTCATTTTTTTGAGTCTTGGGCCTTCTGATTCCTTTTGTTGTTTAGTTTGGAGCAGCTATGGGGCAGAATGTTGGGGAAGTCTTAAGGAAAAATGTAATTGAACCAACCTCATTAATGTGAATCTGTCAATTTTGTTGAAAGTGGATGGAGTTCATCTTACACAGCACTAGAGGGCCTCAGTTGACTGTAAGTGTACTGGGTGGAGTCCTACACCAAGGCTTCATTTTCATGTGTTTATCTGGTATTGCATGTTTCAGAACCCTGTAGGGTAAGAATACTGACAAGCTACTTCTGTTCATGTTCGGAGACAATATCTTAGCCAGATTTACTTGTTAGTCTGTACATGTGGAAATTCTTATTTCACATGAAAACTAGTGATTCTCATAGATTAAATACCAATCAAGAGTTTTGTTTAGGCACTTTGAGAAAAAACTTGTATATTTAAATGGTAGAATGAGGGGTTAGAAATAAAATTGATGGAACATGAGGATTTAATATGGAAGCAGGAAAAATGAAGTTTTTTATGGAAAGGCATGAGGAGAAAGAAATTAATCTGGACATTTTTTAGGAAACTAAATAAATTAAGGGTATAATTGTAAAACAAGCTAAATAATAAGGGACTTTATATTGATGTGACATGTTATTTTTTAAATTTATGTGATTATTTTGAATTTTTCAAAATGATTATTTAATAACTAAGGATATCTATAATGTCTCTGGCTTTGAAAAGTCTGACTGTATAAATTGAAATGAAACAGAATGGTTTAAAATTAATATTTGTGTTCTATAAATTTGTCTTATAAAATGCCATTTATCATATGTACCTTAGTTTCCTTTGTCAGTGTTCTGCTTTATTTTTTTAAACTACATTGGTATATAGAATGCATATGTGCTTTAGAGTTGTAAGACCTAGGCTTCTGCAGCGGTCCTATTTGTGTCATCTTAAATTATTCCCCTATTTGTGTGATCTTGAACTATTTTCCTTTCTGAGAATGTTTCCTAAATTGTGAAGTTGAGATTCTGTGCCAGAGAATTAAGACCAAAGAAAACATTTGTGTATATAAGAGTATTTAGAAAATTGTTCTTCAACAAAAAGGAAATTTTTCATTTTTTATTTCTAGAGTTGGTAATAAATATATCTTATAACCCTTATTTCCAATGAAACTTTTAATACATTAGTTAATTAATTATATAATAAAGTATTTAAGTAAATTTTATACAGTAAATTTTAATTTTTGCAAATATTAATGCAAATATTCCGATATTTCTAAATATTTAGATTTATACAAATATTTTATACAAATATTCTGCTATCTCTAATCAGTGAGATCAAGAAACAATGTGTATTTATAACCCAAATGCAATCTCATTTATGCAAACCTGCTATCTCTAATCAGTTAATGAAATTAAGAAATTATATACATTTTAATATTTACTCAAATGTAGCTATTTTGCTTTATGTCCTTAAAATAATTTTGATTTGTGAATATTAGGAAATAACAGTGGTAAATCCTTAGGAGACAACTGTGTTAGTTCTTTGACTAGTTCTTAAAAAATAATCTATTTAATAATTTTCTTGGCCTGAATATTTTTTCTATTCAATTTAATCTAGCAATTCTTTTAGCACTTAATTTTAAAGCTCATATCTTTGAAAACAGACACTAAAATGTCACCTTTAAACAGACATGAACTAGTTCAGACATAATATCTGGCACTGTGGCATTATGTTTAAGTTTTTAACTACAGTCATTTAATTGTGTCATTCCAGTAAACTGGATATAATGTTTACCTGAAGATTAGTAACAAAATTTCTTTTGTAGAAGTTGTGTACTTTGAAGTATGTGATAATGAAATTCTGTTGAAAACCTCATTAACTGGTAATGTAGATGAACATCCTAACAAAAGCAGAAATATGCATATAAAACACTCACTTAGAGGGTGCCTCAGTAGTAAATAAAAACTTCAGCTGTTTTTGTATGTCTTAAGGAAAGCTGCTTAGGAGAATACAAAGTTCGTATTTGGCATGAGCAGCAGAGTTAATTATTAACATGTATTTAGTAATTGAGAATTCTAGAGGTAAGTTTTATTTTAAAAAGTGTGATTTTATATGTCCTGAGACAGATTTAAGAATGAGGAAACATTTCATTTATTAATTGAGAATTATAAAAGAATTTAAACAGAAATCATAAAGTTTATTGTGATATCTCCATCCCTTGGAAATTGAGAAACACTGGAGGACATTAATTTTTGATAGATGTACATTAGTAAACATGCATTTAAATTTCTTCAAGTGAAATATTTAAGAATGTTTGTATGCCAAAAAAGCCTTTATTCTGTAACATTGGAAAAAACTTTTTAAAGTGTTTGTGGTAAGTGTTTTAAAGTTTGTTTTTTATGATAAAGTATTGAACTTAAAGTATTGAACTTAAAATAAGCAATTCCATTATTGCAAACATGCATGTTTTGAGTAGTTTTTAAAAGTTGACTGCAGTTTATGGAGGAAAAGCTCTCTAAGTTCATTTTCAGAGTACTTTGTATAAAATTATTTTTATATTACTTTAAGAATCATGACTATTATATTAGATTGGGTATGCTGATAATGTTGTCACACAACTATTCATATTGTCCAGATGTAAACAAAGAGCCCAGTCGTGCACTGGATCTCAGCGAAGTAATATGTAATCAATGAAGCCATTGTTTTTGCATGGAAAAGTAAAATCATCACTACCAGTATATATGGTAACATAATTGGAAATTCCTATTTGAAAAACCAAGTATGAGATTAAGATTAAAATTGCAAACCCATAACCAGGATCTGTGATTCAGGATCTTTGATGTTGGTTAAGCTTATTTTTATCATCACAAAGTGGATAAGCTAGAAATTAAGGATGTTATTTTCCAACTTTGAACTGAAATTTAGAAAGTGTGATTAATTACATAAAAGTTCAGTAAGTCTGAATTGTAGAAAATAAAGATTTCCAAAATTAAGAGGCTGCCTTACCTTAGCTTCTGTGTTCGTCACAATGAAGGATGTCGAGTTGTGTGAAGTGTTGCTTAGCTGGGAAGTTTTCTGACTCTTAACAGGTTTATTCAAACAGTTGCTGTAGGTGAAGGAGAAAAAATAGGGAGGTCTTTATGATGTCACACAGGAATTCTGAAGTTATGATTGGTTAACCATAATTATCACAACCAAACTTTAGAACTTCACTACTAAACTCTAGGATTTCATTTTTCCTCCTTTAGAGGAAAAAAGGTCATTAACACTTTGTGCTTTACTTTTTAGTTTTAATTTTAAGAGGTATTTGGGAGAGGAATGAAAGAAAAAAGCTCGGGATGGTAGAAATTGTTCATCTTCAGCCGTAGAGGCAATCGTAATCTGATATTGATGTTAAAGAGCTAACATGTTTGCTGTAGTAGAAATTTTAAAAGAATAATGATCCAGGTTTAGTGAAACAACTTTGAATCGAGCTGCTAATGTTGCATTGATACTGGTGTGTAGCAAGATAGTTAAATATTTTCACTGAATCAAATTTTATACCTTTTCCTAGCTTATATTGTTTGTCTGGTGCTTATCACATAACAAGTTAAAAAAAAACCTTTATCTTATACAATAAGAACTAATGAATGGATAGGTGTTTTCTTCTATTTAACAACATTTTTTATGAGTAATCCCACATTTAAATAGGTTTTTCTCAAGAAAAACTTTATAAATTTAAGATTTTTGAGTAGCTACGTAAAATTACCATAACATTCTAATAAATTTTATCAAGCAGACACTGCAAAAAAAATGATTAAGTTGTTTTGCAAGACAGTGAGGCTTCACTGACACAATTTAACATGTTTAAGTATTTTTTTAAATTATTATTTAAGTAGCTATACAAAGAAGTTCCCATTCTACAAAACAGTATATGAGTACAAAGTGTCTGACAACATCGTTAAGTATTTCTTAAGTATTACTAGTGGAATGATATGTTAGGAACTTTCTGGAATAGTTTATACAGAAGTGAGGAAAGAGTCCCTTTAAGAAGCCACAGCATCAAGCATCATTCTCATGTTTCCTATTTGTGCAGCATCTTATTTACTGAAATCACTATTACTGAAGTCACTACCCTTGCAAATATAATTTTTAATCTTTTCTATTTTGAAGAAGTACTTGTATTTTAACTTTTGTAGCAAAATGAACTTAGCTTGTTTCACTTTCTTGTGGGTAACTAAAATGTGTAGCGGCAGCTGCTACATGCCCTTAAATGGAGATGATCTTGGCTTCTTCCAAAGAAAGATACAATGCTTCTCTTCAGCACATCTCATGTTATTTAAAGAATCATTTTTAAAAACCAACTGAAAAAATAATATTTTAGCAAAGATCCTCTGTAAACATTGCTAAGGGAAAGCTTACAATTTAAAGTAAACTGTGAATTAATGTTTAACACTGCTCAGCTTTACAACCATTTTTTCCTTTGGATTGAAAGAACCTTTACACAATAAGACCCTTACATAATCAGGGTCTCCTATTTTCAATTGTCAATGATGATTGTTAAAATGAAACCTTACAAGTTTAGAGTAGCTTAGAGTAATTTGAAGATGATAATATAACTGTCAAAGGACAGACTGAAAATTCACATCTAGATGTTTAATTTTAATTAATTTTAATTTCTGATAAAATTTGCATGCCAGAGAAAAATTTAGATATAGCTTTTATAGAATTGCATATATCAAGTAAGAAATTCTTAAAATGGAGATATATTAATTACTTGGAAATTATAACTATTTTTGCAAATCTACCCTATTTTTGGAAATCTACCCTATCTGTCAAAATTACATATTCATTTGAAAATGAAGGTTAAGAAATAACTTATCATAGTAGAAATACTTATAAGAATATGGAGTTAGGAGGGGGTAACAATGCTCCATAGGCAGTGCACTCATTTACCTTATTCATGTAACTGTAACCCCCTTGTACAGTATCTTTACAATGAAAAATACATATTAAAAAATATGGGGCTAGGAAGGTGGCTCAGTGGTAGAGTGCTTGTCTTGTATGTATGAGGCCCTGGGTTCGATTCCTCAGCACCACAGAAGCAGAAAAAGCCAGAAGTGGCACTGTGGCTCAAGTGATAGAACGCTAGCCTTGAGCTGAAGAGCTGAGGGACAGCACGCAAGCCCAGATTTCAGGCCCCACAACTGACCAAAGGAAAAAAAAAAAAGGAGTTAATAATACTTAGTTGGGTAAACGAGGGAACTGTGGTAGACTGAAAAAAATACCACCTCACATTTATAGGTTTACTTATGCACACATACATAGCTTAGAAAGATGTTGTATATGTCAGAGTTGGAAAATGGAAATAAAAAATTATCTTTAGATTTATATGAGGACAAGCAGCCTTTTTCTTCTTTGGTTGACTGACAGTGGTGGTGGTGATTCCATGTGTAATCCCTAGGAAGTATTAAGTTTTAGTTTTAGCCTAATTCTGTAAACAAAGTTTTTGAAGAGGAGCATTGAGAAGTTATTCAGTATTTCTCAGCAATTAATTCAGCTAAGTAGAAGCTGGAAAACAAAGTGTTTTTGACTGTCTGCATTTGGAATCATCCTATTTATTGCACCCACTTTTGGAGTTACCCTTATCCAAGTTACTTCTCCAAAGTGCCAAATCTGTGGAATGTCTTTGTTGTTGAGAGGGTTTACAATGTCATGAAATATATGTGGTGATTATTAAATATTTACAACATAGTGTCTGTTTGGTATTTATTTTCTCTTTCCCTTTAGAGGGTGGATCGTTAGCTTATGGTACTTGGATAGAATGCAGAGATTCTTTGAACTTGAAAAAGAAAACAATTACATCTTTATTTTCAAGAAGCTCCAAATTAAATTTAGCATTTGTTTCAGTTTTGACTGTAAACTATGGTAAACAAAAAATGTTTACCATACATTTAGCTGTGACCATAGAAATAGCAAATAATTTCATATGTGAAATCTTGTGGGTTTCACATCCATGGAATCAACCAACAACAGACTAAAAATGTTTGAAACAAATTGCGTCTGTACTAAATGTGTACAGACTTGCTTTTCTTGTCATTATTCTCTAAAAAAATATAGTACATTTATATAGAGATGATTTTCAGTGTTTGGGAAGATGTGTGTAAATCATATGCAAATATGCCATTTTATATAAGAGACTTGAGCATCTGCAGATGTTGGAATTCAAGGAGACTGGAGTCCTACAGATACCAATGGATGACTGTATTATGGCTATTGCAGGTAACTTGAAATATTGTATAATGCATCATTGCCTTGAAATCACCACAAGACCTGCCTGTAGATAACCATGTGTTAATAAATCACATACATTACTAGACTGCAAATTTGGTTTTTAAACAAATTTAATGTAGTTTCTTGTTTTTAAGTGTGAGAGCAGTTTGAAATTTGTAGCAATATTACAAATATAATGGTGGTGTTATATACACATTCCACACCCATTTCCACATGTCCTACATTAATATGGGATGCTTGCCCAACAATTGCACCAATGTTACTATGTATTTTACTTAAAATTCCTATTGAATTCAGATTTCTTTCCTTAATGCCTTTTTTTCTGTAACAGGATAGACTCCAAGCTAACACTGATATTGTTAGCTTTAGAAATCGTGTCTCTTTCAGCCTCCTCAGTTGTGACAATTTCTCAGACCTTTCTATTTTGACTAGTGGTTCTGAAGAACAGTGGTCAGATATTATGTGGAATGTCCCTCAAGTGGAATTTTTCTGTTGGTTAGTGTGGGTAATTTGTTTTGGATATGAAGTCCAGAGAGGTGTCATTTTCATTGTATTACCAGGATATAATCATGAGTAATCACTGTTCATGTTAAACCTTGATCAGTTGATTGAAATGTCCTTTCATCTGTTTTTTTCCTCTCCTATTCTTTTCCAAACTTTACTCTTTGGAGTTATAATAGGGAAACTTTCCATTGCTAAGTTCAAGGCTGAAGTTTTTATAATGCAAGAGAGATTAACAAGAGAAGAGCACACAAACTTGTTTTATATAACTTACAGAAACTTTCTTTAGGAAATGAAGACGCATGGAAACAGGTCAAATGTATCTTGTTGGATTGTCAAAAAAAAGTATGATTAAAAAAAACAAAAAACTGAAGGGAGCTGAGGAAGGCCTATTGGTTCAAATTATCTGTCTCTTGTGTCTTCAGAGATGAGGCTTTTCCTTTCCTCTGGGAATAAGGAGAGCCTCTCTACAATGAGAGAGAAAGGAAGGGTAGAAGAAGGTCAAGAGTGATTTCATAGGCTATGTGATCTGCTTCAGGGGAAGAAGAGTGAGAAGAAGGTAAAAGTGGTTTTCCTACCTCTGCTGTTCTCATATCCAACATGCTATGTTTTGGAGTAGTTTGCCCTCAACCCTATTATCATAAGTCATTATACACAGACTGCATTTGTACTCCATTACCTGAAGTGTGTAGTATCTACAAAACTTACTTGGAATCCTTTTTATGTATGTAAAAACATTCTGAGACAGATCAGTAGGATTCAGCAGTTCCCAAAAGGATCTGTCATACCAAAAATTTTTGTATTAGAGGCTGTTTCTGTAGTTATGTGAGATAGCCCTTTTTTGAAAGAGACTTGAGTATTTCAGTGGGCTAAAATCCATACTGTTGAGCTTTGGTTTTAGGCCCTGTCTTTCTTGTTTGTCCATTATCACATTCCTTTGTGTCCTGTGCTCTGCCTCTGTACAGCTCCATGTGACCCCATGGAAAGGATACTGCTCTATTTTAAGCCTGGGTACTTTTTGTAGGAATGTCCTACCAACCGTTGTTCCCATCATAGTGCTGTGTCAATTTATCTTTTCTGTGAAGCTTTCCATGCCTTATGCCAAACAGTTTTACATGGACGTCTTGTTGTTGTTGTTACTACTATCATCATCATTGTGGTGTGGTGATCATCTGTTTGTGTATCTGCCTAGACTACAAGCTCTTCCAGAGAGCCAGTTCAATAGCTATCCCATTCTGCTTCTTCTTCTCCTTTATTTTTTTTCTCCTCCTCCCTCCACTTCCTCCTTTTTTTCTCATTTGAAA